AATACACAAACCATAGAAGCCTTCATGATTATGAAAATCCATATATTAGATATGAAAAATATGGGGAATGTCCAACCTGCAATAGATATAATACTAATTGGACATGGTGTCAATCATGCAATCCAAAGCTATTAACAAAAGGATGGACTAGTGGTAATGAAATATTAGATGAGTTGATTAAAAGTACACAACTTAAAGCAACTAAGTATCATTATAATGATCATCTTCAATGGATTCCTTATAATGATTTAACAAATGTTGAAAAGATAGAAGGTGGGTTTGCAACCATATATAAAGCTACTTGGTTAAATGGGTATAAAAGTATAAATTATAATAATGAAAGAACTAGCAAGGATATGCTAGTGGCATTAAAAAAACTACATAATTCACAGAATATCTTTGACGAATTTCTTAATGAGGTAAATTATTTTATTTTGTATTGATTTTCAAATTTTAAAATATCATTGATTATTATTGTTGTAATTAAATATTTTATTTGTTATTTTAGCTCAAAAATTTTACAAAGTTTCATGATAAAGTTTATATTTATGGGTTGACACAAGATCCAATTACAAAAGAATATATCTCTGTTGTGCATCATATAGAAGACAGAAGTTTTCAAAATGATAAATATTCTGATAAAAGAAAGGAGCATTATGGGGAATGTCCAACATGCAATAGATATAATACTTATTATTCGTGGTGTCAATCATGTGATCCAAAACTATTAACTGAAGGATGGACTAGTGGCAATGAAACATTAGATGGGTTGATTAAAAGTACACAACTTAAATCAGAATATTATAATAATGATAAATACCTTCAATGGATTCCTTATAATGATTTAACAAATATTAAAAAGATTGGTGAAGGTGGGTTTGCAACTATATACAAAGCTACTTGGTTAAATGGTGAGAAATATGGAAGTGTAAATAATGAAAGAATTAGCAAAGATATGCCTGTGGCATTAAAAAAACTACATAATTCACAGAATATTTCTGATGAATTTCTTAATGAGGTAAATTATTTTATTAAATGTTATTGATTATTATTGTTGTAATTAAATATTTTATTTATTGTTTAGTTCAAAAATTATATGAAGTTTCATGGTAAATGTTTTATAATTCATATTTATGGATTAACACAAGATCCAATTACAAAAGAATATATATTTGTATTGGAATATATGGAAGAAGGAAGTCTTCAAAATTATTTAACAAAAGATTTTAAAAATTTAAAATGGATTGACAAAATCAGTATTGTTTTATATATTATTACTGGTTTAAAAGAAATCCATGAAAAAGAAATTATTCATCATGATCTTCATATTGGTAATATTCTTCAAAAAAACAAACTGGTTTTATATATTGCAGACTTAGGATTATCATGCCCAGCTAGCCAATCATCATCATCAAATAAAAATGATATATTTGGAGTACTACCATATGTTGCACCAGAAGTTTTAAAGGAGAAGCCATATACAAAAGCATCAGATATATATAGTTTTGGAATTCTGATGTCTGTAATTTCAACTGGTCAACAACCTTTTAATGATTTGGCACATGATTTTGGACTTGCAATGAAAATATGTGAAGGTGTAAGACCTGGATTCTCAATCAATACACCAAAATTCTATATTGAACTAGCATTCAAATGCATGGATGCTAATCCAGATAAGCGTCCAACTGCTGAAGAAATTTGTAGGATTATTTGTCATTGGCCACTTGAAAATTTTGAGAAAATGGATGAAATAAAATTTGATCCTTCAACAATTGCTGCAACAATTCATCCAAATGCAATTTATACTAGCAGATTATTAAAATTTACAAACCTTCCCCAACCTGTTAATTCCAATAAAGTAACAATTATTTGTAACCATAGAGGTGATTATTGACATTTAATCAGTGATTATTTTCATTTTTATTAATTTAATATTAATGATATCTGCTCTTGTGATAAATATTTTTTTAGATTCTCATCAGATTGATTTAGATATAGATGAATTTTAAATACTGTCATATTTTTATTTATTTGGCTACTATAGTTGTGATACTAAATATCTTGAAAAATGAAATTTTATTTAATAGTGATATTATATATCTTTGGGGGTTTTTTTCATTGAAATTTGGATGTCAAATATGTACACTAAAATAATGATTTTGTCAAAAAAATAAATGTAATATAATTGCAGTATTATTTATTTCCTACCTTTTCAAATCAATATTTTCATTTTTTATAGCATTATTGAAGTAATGTATTAACAATATATCATAATATATAAATAATTTATTAATATATTAAAAATATATTATAATTTAAATGTACCTTATATTATCAAATAAAAAGCCCATATCTAAATCATTTCAACTTGTTAAACCAATTCTCTTGATGGCATGATTAAACTCTACCCAAGCTTTTCAAATCATATAATATGTATGCCAGTGTTTTCCCTAATCTTGTAGGTACCATTGCCATAATATCTCACCTATTGCATATATGTATGATTACCAATAAAACTTTAACCTCTATCACAACCAAGATTCCCATAATCCAAATTTGGTTGTCCCAAATGATTTTTTCCTCCAAAAATACACAACAGACACAAATTATGGTAGACTGATTACAAGTTTTGTTGAATCAAACAATGTCAAACTCCTGATCTTATTTGGAAACCCTGGTCTGGAAGCTTTGATGTTTTCCCAATGGAAGGGCATTACAAGTACATTAAAAAACTAGGATCATCTTTTTCAAAAAGAAACAGCCTTCCTAAAAATAAATAGATCCACTTGCATGAAATGGCAATACAATCACCCACCTGCACTACCAAATAATTTCACAAAACATTTCATCGGGTATCATTTAATCATGGCACATTTTTGACATTTAACATTAGTAGTTGTCAATTGGTCATTCTATTTTATTTTATTTTATTGGACAAAATCATGTAAAAAGTCATGTTATTTGTAATACTTCAAGAAGTATAAATATGCTTGAAGTCTCATTCAGTGAAAAGGAATTAATCAATAAAAATAAATTAATACTCTTTTCAATAATAACGCTTTGGTAATAAAAATATCACTTTCATAAAAATAGTCCTTGACTGTAATTAATTAATAAATCAGGTATGATTGATTGATTCATCACCTTTTCTGATGATTAATTGTTTGCCAACATTTAATTATTAGTTAGGAACTATTTTGTTAGTTTTACTATGTTGCTTGTAGGTATGCCTCAAGTAGGGCAGTTTTATATGGTGATTTTAGTTTAGTTTGACATTATTGGCTGTATGCCAGAAATAGAGTAGAGTCTCTATTCGTAATACAAATTTTTGTTTGAATTGTTCAAATCATTCGTTTACTCGAATTATTATCGTCCATTTATTATTTGAATTGTTATCAATCGTTTATTATCTAAATTGTTATTTATCATTTATCATTCGTTTATTCAAATTATTCATTATCATTCGTTTTGTTTGAATAATTCATTTTATTTGAACTATTCATTTTGTTTGAATTATTCATTTACTAGAACTATTTGTTTATTAGTTTATTCAATCTATTCGTTTGTTTAAATTATTCATTTTACTTGAATTTACTTGTTTTAATTGAATTATTCGGACTAATTGAATTATTCATTTTATTTCGAACTATTCTTTTATTTGTTTTATTCGAACTATTCGAATTATTTTGTTTATTCGTTTTATTTGAACTATTTTTTTATTCATTTTGTTTAAATATTCAAATTATTCGTTTTACTCGAATTTATTTAACTATTCGTTTATTCGAACTATTAAAATTATCGATTGAATTATTTATTTTATTCGTTTATTTGTCTTGAATTATTATTCATTTATTCATTTTATTTGAATTCAATAAACAATTTCATAACAATAACAAGTAATACAAATAATACAAATAATACAAATAAACATTATTCGAATAGAACCCTAATACCAGTTGTATGTAGTGAATTTATTTGTTGACTCCAATAACTCAAATCACACGCTTGCAATATTTATAGATCGTAAATGATTACGGCATTACAGTTTTACGGTCTCTTTATATTTAAGGTGTCATGCTGGATTTATTTATGTAATGCTAATTCAGGTACACAAGTCGATATTAATAGTTTGTGTGATACATATTTGTGGCTTTAGAAAAATTTTTTTTTGATAAATTATACACCCAAATAATTTTTAAAAGATGGAAAACACTTTGGATGAAAATAAACATCATGATGATACTTCTACTGACAAAAACAATGATGATGAATATTCGAAGAGGAGAGATAAACTTTATGGGAAATGTCCAACATGTAATAGATATAATACTTGGTGTTCATGGTGTCAATCATGTGATCCAAAGCTATTAACTGAAGGATGGACTAGTGGCAATGAAACATTAGATGAGTTGATTAAAAGTACACAACTTAAAGCAACTGAGTATTGGAATAATTGTTATCTTCAATGGATTCCTTATAATGATTTAACAAATATTAAAAAGATAGATGAAGGTGGTTCTGCAACTATATACAAAGCTACTTGGTTAAATGGTTATAAAAGTATAAATGATGATGATTATAAAAGAACTAGTGAAGATAGGACTGTGGCATTAAAAAAACTACATAATTCACAGAATATTCCTGATGAATTTCTTAATGAGGTAAATTATTTTATTTTTCATTTTCAAATTACTTAAACATTATTCCAAAATTCAATAATTTTTTTTATATAGTTTAAAATTTATGTTACATTTTATGGTAAATCATTTATAAATCAAATTTATGGATTAACACAAGATTCAGCTACAAAAGAATATATCTTTGTAATGGAATACACAAACCATAGAAGTCTTCATGATTATGAAAATCCATATATTAGATATGAAAAATATGGGGAATGTCCAACCTGCAATAGATATAATACTAATTGGACATGGTGTCAATCATGCAATCCAAAGCTATTAACAAAAGGATGGACTAGTGGTAATGAAATATTAGATGAGTTGATTAAAAGTACACAACTTAAAGCAACTAAGTATCATTATAATGATCATCTTCAATGGATTCCTTATAATGATTTAACAAATGTTGAAAAGATAGAAGGTGGGTTTGCAACTATATATAAAGCTACTTGGTTAAATGGGTATAAAAGTATAAATTATAATAATGAAAGAACTAGCAAGGATATGCCAGTGGCATTAAAAAAACTACATAATTCACAGAATATCTTTGATGAATTTCTTAATGAGGTAAATTATTTTATTTTGTATTGATTTTCAAATTTTAAAATATCATTGATTATTATTGTTGTAAATAAATATTTTATTTGTTATTTTAGCTCAAAAATTTTACAAAGTTTCATGATAAAGTTTATATTTATGGGTTGACACAAGATCCAATTACAAAAGAATATATCTCTGTTGTGCATCATATAGAAGACAGAAGTTTTCAAAATGATAAATATTCTGATAAAAGAAAGGAGCATTATGGGGAATGTCCAACATGCAATAGATATAATACTTATTATTCGTGGTGTCAATCATGTGATCCAAAACTATTAACTGAAGGATGGACTAGTGGCAATGAAACATTAGATGAGTTGATTAAAAGTACACTACTTAAATCAGAATATTATAATAATGATAATTTCCTTCAATGGATTCCTTATAATGATTTAACAAATATTGAAAAGATAGGTGAAGGTGGTTTTGCAACTATATACAAAGCTACTTGGTTAAATGGTAAGAAATATGAAAGTGTAAATAATGAAAGAATTAGCAAAGATATGCCTGTGGCATTAAAAAAACTACATAATTCACAGAATATTTCTTATGAATTTCTTAATGAGGTAAATTATTTTATTAATTGTTATTGATTATTATTGTTGTAATTAAATATTTTATTTATTGTTTTAGTTCAAAAATTATATGAAGTTTCATGATGAAATTTTTATAATTCATATTTATGGATTAACACAAGATCCAATTACAAAAGAATATATATTTGTATTGGAATTTATGAAAGATGGAAGTCTTCAAAATTATTTAACAAAAGATTTTAAAAATTTAAAATGGATTGACAAAATCAGTATTCTTTTATATATTATTAGAGGTTTAAAAGATATTCACGAAAAAGAAATTATTCATCATGATCTTCATAGTGGTAATATTCTTCAAAGTAAAACTGATTCATATATTGCAGACTTGGGATTATCATGCCCAGCTAACCAAACATCATCATCAAATAAAAATGATATATTTGGAGTACTACCATATGTTGCACCAGAAGTTTTAAAGGAGAAGCCATAT